TTCTGATAAACAAAATCTAAGCTTTCAAAGAAAATAATAAATATCATATTTGACAGTAATATCACACTTTGATGTGATCTCTCTCTCTTTTTTTTGACAAGCACAGTACTGATGGGTATTTCATGGTAAAGCTGTTCCTTGTAAAGCAGAAGTCAAACTGTGAATGTCGTATGTGTAGAAACGGAAAAACACTGTTAAACCACATGCTACTGACACATCAAGATAAACGCACACGCACTGACATTAACCACAGATGTCCAGTAATAGACTCGTGCTCATGCAGACTCTGTCTGTCCAACAGATCAACCCACATCTCTGTGCAGATGGAAAAATATCAGACCACAGCAGGTTTTATTTTTGACTTGCAAACTGAGCTGCTAGAGCCTCAAACTGGCAGGGGCCTCTAAAATTAGTAGAACAAAAGGACTTAAAAAAAAAAAAAAATTATTACAGAAGAACAGTAAATGCAGTACTAATATTTTTCTTAATATCTTTAGTTACGGATGTAAATAAGCAAATTAAAGTCACAACACTTACAGAGATGAAATTCTTTTGGAGCAACATTTACCGTAGATACTGTATCTATGGCATTTACTGTGAACCGAGCAGCTCTTGAGACACTGAAAATAATGGAACATGAGCTGCTGTGTTAATGAACACAGTGCCACGTTTCACTTTGAGAAACGCAGTGCATCAGACTGTATATATATAATCACATTGCAGATTTTGCCATTTGATAATCACATTTATATTCTCACAACCTTGCATTGCTAGAATTCATGAAAACATTGCTGTCCAAGTGGTGAGTTTCATTTGCTGGGGGGGGGTTTAAAACTATAAAAAAAAAAAAAAAAATTATTTCAGAATTAATTGTAAATTCTGCTGCTGTATGTGGTGATTTTTACCAATCCCAAAATTCAGCCATAGACTCAGGAACTGCTGGGTGTCACAGGAGATTCCTAGTAAAATTATCACTTGGATAAATCTGTTAAAAAAGTTTGAGACCGTTTGAAAATTGATTATCTTCTAATGGCGACACCTGCATACACCACATCCTCCTCCTCTTTACCTTTCTGTAAAAGAAAAAAAAAACACATCACACAGGTATAATAATAAAATCTTATAAATTAAAATGTGACAAATTAACCCTGAAGACTGACTGACTTTTTTGTCTAATAAGAGCAGTCAGCACTGATTTCAGAAGAAAATGTATATACTACTACTAAGCTAACATGAAGTTTGATGTCAATGACACTGTATTAGCTGGATTAAAAAAATGCAACTTTCAAATTTACTCGATTGAAGCGTTGCTTTAAAGTGAAGCTGTATATTTTTATGCGTTTAAAGTATTGTATGTTGAGTCTTGCTTTTACAAAATGCTGTGTGAAAAAAAGTGTGATTTCATAGAACTGCATGGTGCAGAGCAAACAGTGTTGTAAGTCTAATGCAACTTGGTAATGGTTAATTGGTAATGGCACCTAAAAATAAAAAAATGTAGTTGCACAAACAAGAAACTAGGTCACAGTATGGACCCCTGTAAATAATGTGATTACTGATTTTTTGCAGTTATTTGAAAGTTGAAGTCTGTAGTGATGATGGAATTTAGAGATCCTGCACTCTTTCACCATTTCATAGTTGCTTTAAAATATATATTTCAGCACAATAACCTACGGACAGAAACCTCTGAAGTTGTTCAGTAAATTTGGACAATTATGTCATCAGCTGACACAGAAAATACTGCATCAGTGGCTCATGTTGATCATTGGAAATATGAACTAATCACCTTAAAATGGACTTTGTTGTTTTGTGACGCTCTTCAGTTACTATAGTGAGTGTCATGAATATCATGGGATATCATATAAGTCCATGTTTCTCACATTGAATGCTCATCTTAATGGCTTTTCTAAACATCTTGAAATTATGTTTCAAACATATGTTTTTTGGTTTGTTTGTTTTTGTCTGTACATACAAGCGCACATGCGCCTAATGCCGTGTTCACACTGCACGATATTAGCCCGATTTTTCACTCGCCGACAGGTTTTTTTTCTTTTTCTCCTTGTAGCTGGAAATCAGCTCTCAGACAATTTGCAGGCTATATATATATATTTAAAATAATTACAGTTTTGCTCGCGAGAACTCCGGTCTGAGGCACGCGGGTTCTCGCGTTATTTCCTTATCACTTCTCGCGTGTGTTTTGTTGTGAAACGTAGTTTGCGGACCAGACAGAGCTATCTGCGATTCTTCCTATTGTGAAGTCATGCAGTGTGAAACCCTCTGTCGCGGATCCATCGTGCAATGTGAACACAGCAGCAACTGAATGCTACCCCAGATAGTCACGCAGTGTGAAAACAACGGCGATCCGACGAGTTTGAAAATCGTGCAGTGTGAACTCGGCATTAAAATGTGACTGCTGAAATCATACAGAGATCGTCAACAAAAATAAATGAAATAAATGATCTTCCCGATTTCTGTGCTTTTCTTTTGTAGAATGTTGGATCAGCATAAATGATCTCTTCATCATGAGTCTGAACGGTTTCAAAGATGCATCAGTGGCTCATGTTGATCATTGAGTTGAGTGATGTCCAGATGTGTGGTCTGGTTGCTGATGGGATTGTTGAGCACACAGCTGTAGGTGTTTTTATCCTGATATTCCACCTCCAGAGGTAGAGAGAGACTGATGCTGAGATCAGACACACTGATGCTGGACAATAAACTGTTTCCTTTGTACCAGGAGAGAGTCACATGACCCACATTCACCACTGAACACAACAATGAACAATTCTGCTGTGATGATGATGATGAAGAACAGTGAAGAGTTACTGCTGATGACAGGAACAGGCAAACGAGTATGATAATTAAGTTCCTACACCTAATTGTCTGAGATGGTCCTTGGTGTCCCACACCCGCTCCCATTCTACAGTTGGTCACCATTTGCTCAGGATGTGATCATCCCAAATAATCTAGAAACGACATCTTCATCTATAATAATTAAGCCATTTTGGGAAATGAGCATGATCAAACATCTGTTGTGGAATGGAATCTGGGCCGGGGCAGACTAGTTTCTTACACCATCTAGCAAGTTAATTTGACAATACTATATATTATTTATATATCCATTTTATCAATGTACTGTAGTTTCATATTTCCAGTTGTAAAAAAGGGAGATAATACTTACATATCAGATGTAAAATCTTATTGCTGTATTTTGCTGAGTTGTGTCGACTGATATTTAAATAGTGTAAGTAGCAGTCAAAAGCAAACAATGAGTAGCTACGATGGCAAACAAGGAGTTTAAAAAAGTAGCAGCATTGAGCTGCTGTTCATGCCAGTTTGTACTTTGATTTGTGTAATTTTTTTTCTGGTTTAGATTTTAGATTTTCCAACGTACTGGTTTGTTTTGATTATAATTTCATTGCAAAGATATTGAGAAAAATAAACACCAGCAGGGTCACGTTTAAAGAGGTAGAGACTGATCGGTGAAACGGGGCTTTGATGACTTTTGCTTTCAGTTAGCTAGTATTATCAGATTGCCGCCTATATCACTTGGAGTGATTGCTATCCGTTTAACAACCTTGAAATGGATATAAGAGAAAAGCTATTGTCATATGGCTAATGCAGGAAACTATGGCAGAACCATATAGCAAAAGTTACATCGTTATGAGCCTAAAATATGTTATTTGCCTGTTTTTCACCAATAAAGTGTGGTTGTATCATGTCATCGACCTTTCCAAGTGATTCCTGGTGTCAGAATTATATGAAAAGTGGGTTCATTTGTCTTTGTATGTTGCATGGTTCAGGGTTTATGAAAATCTGTGTTTTTTGCCACTCGCAATGACATCATTTCAAGATGGCCGCCAAACGAACCCCATGGGACATTAGTTGACAACATTAAAACTTCTTAACTAGACACCATTAGGGTCCTAAAAAAACAGGTTACAAAATAACTTGTAGGAAACATACTCTTCCTGCTAGACTATTTACCTTATGGTATTAACCCAGAGTCTCCACTGGGTTACATCCGTAGGAAAGCGATAAAACGAGCATCTTCCATCCAAACACTTGTGGTTGCATTTCGGTACAAAGCAGGGGGGGAGGGGGGATTGTTGAGCAGCAATATAAAATGTGGGAAAGTATTAATTGGTTATTCTTCAATTAATTGCACTACAAATTATACTACAATTGGAAAATACTATAAATTTATAAACTGTTTGGCGTGATGACGTTTAATGTCTCCGACAATGCCTGTAGTCCCATTTATCAACTTGTTGGCAACCACCTTTTCAAGTAACGTAACAGTTTAAAATAAAACGTGAAAGTATCTTGAGCTTGTGTTAACCACAGACCTTATTTTAGGGGATTTAACCAAACTCTCATTCAAAAAACCCCATTGACTCTGGGATGATGGAACCGGAAGTGCTAAAATGCTAACTCGCTTCCAGGTTTTTGCCTACAAAGTGACGTCATAGTTCCACCACTCTATAGACCTTTTCCACATTTCCAGGTTTCCCAGCAGCGGAAGTCGTCATAGTTGGGTAAACTTCTAGAGCAGTGAATGGGAGAGTACCACAAATATATCTATTTTTTGCATTCCCATTTGCTCAAATAGCAAAAGAAAAACTCCACGATAGTGTTTTCAGGACTTTCAATCAAAGAAAAAAAAATAATAAAAAATGAGTGAGACTGATAGTGGCAGTCAGAAGAGAGAACAATGTCAAATTTACCGTCCCTCCCATAGACGCTGCATTCGAAACACCCTTGCATTAGCGTTAAACTATTTAATCCAAAACAATGCTATCAAAAAGATTCCCCTTCTGCACCTTTAGTGCTTGGACACCTACATTTGCCCCCCTACCATTAAGTTAAATTCTTAATAGGGGCCAGAAAAATGTTTATGTAATGTTAAAAATGTAACCATTATACATTATATATTTTACATAACTACACACTGTTTAGCGAGTGTGTGTGTGAGTGAACTAAAGGAGGGTCTTATTCTTTCGGGGGAGGATTCAGACATTAGATTAGCAGTCAGAATGTTTTTTGGTGGACAGTATTACTACTTCAGACACTTAAAGAAAATGATTCACACATTTGTTTTGTTCTGTTTGTGCTTCTGGCCTCTGACTGGTAAGTTATGAAAGCATTTTATAGCTTCATTCCGCTTCAGTGTAATAAGCTAATGCTACTGTTCAAATTAAAGTATTTTCATCCACTTAGGATTCAGGTATCTATTTGTGTTTTCGATTTGGGTGCACCAGAAATCATTTTTAACATATTAAATTTAATTGAAAAGTACTGAGCATTTTAAAATTAAGTATAATAGAGGCACAGAAATCACTTTAAAACATTAAAAGTTTTTTGGGGGTGGTGGGGAAGGGGGTGTTCAATATTAAATTTAACTGATTGTTGAACGTGATGTTCCCCAGCCATCTAAAAAAAATATATATATATATATATTTGCCGCAGTAAAAAAAATACAGCAGTAATAATGAACAACTGTAAAAGTCATGTTAATTCATTGGTCAAAAAGCAGTAAAATTATGAGTGAGATACTGTGAGCTGGATTTCTCATATATAAAAAATATCCCATTCATAAAAGAAATGTATTGAATGTGAGCAGCGTTAGTAAGCTTGTACTTTCATGCTTGAACTTGTGTAACTTCACTCTTGTATTTTACTCAACAGCTGATAAAACACCATAACAATGAAATTAGTGGCTGTCTGCTGCTGTTCTTTAATACACATTTTACAAACTAAACAACAGGAAGCTTAATCAGTGTAAAATCTGTTTGTTCATCAGGTGTGTTTGGTGAGTCAGTGTCAGTGATGGAGGGAGATTCTGTTACTTTACACACTAATCTTACTGAAATACATGAAGACGACGAGATAGTGTGGACCTTTGGAGCTGAAAACTCTACGATAGCTCAAATCAACAGAACTGCTGGAATCTTCAACACATCTGATGTTCTTGACGGGAGATTTAGAGACAGACTGAAGCTGGACAATCAAACTGGATCTCTGACCATCACAAACACCACAACTGAACATGCTGGACTCTATAAACTACAGATACGTGGAGCAATACTGTCATCACAAACATCCAATGTTTCTGTCTATGGTCAGATAATTTTTATGTCCTTATACATTATTTTGTATTTTTTACTTACTGAATTTTTAAATCATTTTATTGTTTAAGATGACACACACACACTGTGAACACAAAACCATTTTAAACACATCAAATGAAAAAATAGGACTATTGATTAGATTTATCCAGACTTGTTCGCTCATGTTTTCAGCTCCTCTGCCTGTTCCTGTCATCAGCAGAAACTCTTCACAATGTTCTTCTTCATCATCTTCATCATCATCATATTGTTCACTGGTGTGTTCAGTGGTGAATGTGGGTCATGTGACTCTCTCCTGGTACAAAGGAAACAGTTTATTGTCCAGCATCAGTGTGTCTGATCTCAGCATCAGTCTCTCTCTACCTCTGGAGGTGGAATATCAGGATAAAAACAGCTACAGCTGTGTGCTCAACAATCCCATCAGCAACCAGACCACACATCTGGACATCAGCAAACTCTGTCACACATGTTCAGGTACAGCAGCGCTGATAAGAGCATCTATTGCATCTATTCTGTTCACTGAATTTATTTGTTGATTTTACTGAAACTGATAACTCAAGATGCCAGAAATGATGAATGAACTTGTGTCATCATTTAGCTCACTCCTGTATTTCTAAACAGGCTATATTGTGCAGATAACTTTTTTTTTTTTTTTTACACTTCAGGAAAAAAAATCAGATTTTAAGTTCATCTATAGAGACTAAAGTCAGCTTATTGAAAATGACTATTTATTAAATTATTTATTTACTGACAGACGTCCACATCCACTGTTGTGATACTGTTGAAGCTGTGATCCGATTGGTCGTCACTGCTCTGATGGGCGTGGCTGCTGCAGCTGCTGCTGTTCTTCTGGTCAATGACATCAGATCTGCTAGAGGTTAAAAGAAAACAGAACAGCTATAGAAATACATATTCTGATATATATTGGAGTTTTAACTGTAAAGATAAAAATTATGTGTTGTCTAATTGTTTTGTGATGGTGAAACGAAGCTTTGCTTACAAATGCTTTCCTCTGAACTCGATTTGAAAAGGTTTCCAAATCTGGTGTATTGAGTCCATCTAGTGGCCAAAACAATATTCTTTAATGTTTTTTTTTTTTTTTGTCTTTAATACTATGCATTTTACATTAATTACATTGTTTTCAGTTGTTCATTAATTTATGTTATGTGGCTATTTTCATTTTGTTTTATAATTGTACGTAGCAACCATGGAAATACAAATCTACTATTTGTCACACCAATAAATCACCACATAATTGAACTGAAAACTGAATATTTACAGACTGAACTATATACATCTATGAACCATAGCTGCATAGGCTTATATTATAACTGCAAGGGTGTGAGAATAAATTTTAATGGTGGTTAAATATAAACACGTTTACAGCACAAAACAGTTTATTCAAAAATCAAATAGTGAAAAGTTCATTATGAGGCAATATAGTACAATGGACAGTTTCAGTGCAACAATTCAGAATCACAGCAGTAGTCTGAAGCAAAAAAATTAAAATAAAATAAACGATATCAGGGAATCTTTTTCACATTTTGTTATGTTGCTGCAATGCTGCCTTATGTTAAATTGCTTTAAATGACTTTGTTTCCACATCAATCTACACTCCATACACCATAATGGTAATGCAAAAAACAGGTATTTAACATCTTTGGAAATTTAGTAAAAGTAAAAAACTTAAACGATTCCATTGCATATGTATCCATACTGTTAAATCATGCCTCCACGCCAGATAATTAAGATCCAGCCCCAGATGCCAGATCCCGTCAGAAAATATTCCCACATGTTTTGTGTGGTAACAGAACAACTCATCAGCAAAGTAGTCTAATACCTAAAACCTGTTAACAGCAAGTCTATTAACAGTCTTCTATCAGCCAAGAAGCTGAGGAAAAACCCAATGAAGAGCAGAAGCAGGAGACGAAGTGATGATGATAAAAGGAGCAGAGTTTATTGAATAGTTGTGTATGTTTCAATACTCAGACGTCGTCTGACCAGCACAAATCCAACAAGTATTGTTCTAACAAAACTTTCAAAATAACATCCAATAAACCTTGAGTTTCTATAAACATTCCCACTTATCTCTTATTCATGAAGACAAACAGCCCTTGAAACCACACAGTCATAAGACTAAACAACAATAGAAAAAACAACAATATAATATAATACAAATTACTAATCAATAAATGACTCAACGAAATGGGTATATAAATGACTATAATGATTATTATAAATTATTATATGATTAAATTTAATAATAAAATTATTAAATGATAAATCATTATAAATGATTGAAGAATGAATGAATAAATGAATATTTAAAAAAAGTAAAACACAAAACAAATGTAAAGCAAAACACACAGTTTGCATTTGAGGATTCTCAGATCCTTCATCCTCCTCTGGACCTGATGTCATAAACCAGAAAAGCCGCTGCAGCCACGCCCACCAGAGCAGAGAGGACCAATCGGATCACGGTTTCAGAAAAACCACAGCAGTGGACAGAGTCTGAGGAATAAAAACATCAAACTGAGATCAGCTCAGTCAATAAATGTTAATATCAGCGCTGCTGTACCTGAACATGTGTGACAGAGTTGAGTGATGTCCAGATGTTGAGTCTGGTTGCTGATGGGATTGTTGTGGTGAATAGTCTCTGATAATATCAGGAAAAGGAAGATGAGCTGAAAACATAAAATAAGACTTGATCAGAAAGTGTTTATTGCAGCATCAGTCAGTCAGTGAGTGTCAACAATCTTCATTCCTCTCTCCGCAATTATAAAAAATTATTATACATATGGATAAGTAGCAAAGAAAAAGAGGAATGATGGTTAGTTGAAATGATTTTGTTATTATTTTAATCAATAATCAAAATAAATGTAATATAAATTACCTTTAATTTACAGGTAAATAAAAAGGTGAAACCAGTATTTAACTCACCATAGACAGTGAGACTGAATCTCTTGCTCACACTGTTGCTCTGTAGTTGATAGAGTCCAGTATGTTCAGTTCTGGTGTTTGTGATGCTCAGAGATCCAGTTTGATGATCCAGCTTCAGTCTGTCTCTGAATCTCTCATCAAGAACATGATCATATACAGTGATGCTGCTGACCATTACATTGATTTGAGCTATTAAAGTGTTTTCAGCTCCAAACCTCCACAGAATCAGATCATCTTCCATTAATTCAGTAACACCAGAGTTTAGAGTGACTGAATCTCCCTCCAGCACTGACACTGATGTCACTGCATCTGTATCACCAAACACACCTAACAAAACAGATTCACAAATTTAGGGTGTGTGCACACTTGTAGTTCGGTTTCGAGTTTTTTTTCACTAAGAGTTCATGTTGGCATTATAACATCATATCTAAATATAAATAAATAAATAAAAATGTGATGTACGTAGGCCTAACCTATATTTTTGTGACGGAACTTACCAAAAATCCAAAACAATGCTATGTGCTGTGTGTTAGTCTAAATGGACTCATTCTTGTATTCGCTTGTATGTGCCTATATACAATGGTATTTTTCTCAGCTGGGCTCTCACAAAGAGCTTAAAAAATGTGGAGTCAAAACAGCGGCAGAAATTATTCCGTTGCACACAAATGAAGATCAAAGGTCACACTATTTTTGGTGAATTTGGGATTTTTGGTCTAGTTTTTAACACAGTTCACCAAAAAATCACACTATTAACAGTAATCAGTGTAAACAAGCAGTTCATAACAACATTGTTATAACAAAATTAGGACTTTACAAAAACAATATTTAAAAAAAAAAAGTGATGTCTTAAAATGATTATGATTATAACTTACCAACCAGATGCCACAAGCAGAACAAAACAAACATGTGAACCATTTTCAGATTACAGCACTTTAAATATGTGAACACTTCTGTGACAGACAGCTTGTGAACAGTGTTAAACTGCCATATAGTGTTGCTCGTGAGTCCTCAACCAATAATATTTGACCACCACCCATCCATTGCACATGCACATGCTCTTCTTGCATGCAATGGTTGTAGTTCTCCCATCGTATTCTCGCACTGTTAGTAGTAGCAGACCCGATGTTGCATATCACTATCACTATTTTATTTTATTTTTTTGCAGAATGCAGACACTGTTTGTCCAGCAAACAGATCAAACCATAACTCTGTAAAGATGTCAGTAAGAGTTTCACTTTGACTCACAAACTGAGCTGCACAAGCATCAGATGCATTCAAGTGAACAACATTCATGTTTGGTCTGTGGTTCTTCTGTGCTTTGTTATATTATACATTTTTGTATAACTAAAGATTCATTCAAATGCTCTGAATTTGCTTTGAAATGTGCTGCTCATTAATTTATCAACATTTTAAATCCACAGGCAGCTTTGTCACCCATGGAACACACTTGCCTTGCTTCCTTTCCTGTTGACTTAGCTTCTTCTTCCAAGAATGCGAGCAAAGGAGAATGGAGGAATCATGCGAATCGATTTTTGTAAATCAGAATATCCTTGATCACTCAAGTGTCACTTCAGTAGTCCATTCGATGTCAAATTGACTATTTTAACGATGTCCTAACTACCTTTCTGGGTCTTTAACGTGTATGTTGTGTTGCTGTCTATGCAGGGTCAGAAAGCTCTCGGATTTCATTAAAAATATCTTAAATTGTGTTCCGAAGATGAACAGTGGTCTTACGGGTTTGGAACGACATGAGGGTGAGTAATTAATGACAGAATTCTCATTTTTGGGTGAACTATCCCTTTAAAGATACATGGACATTTTCCTCTACAATATAAATTTTTTTTTTTAAACGTTTAAATATGAATGTTTCTAATAAGTAACTAGATAAGAACGTATGGTGTGTGCATGTGTGTAGGCCTAGTTTAGAAGGTAGACCAAAACAATTCACCCTGTGCAACCCCTCTAGACATGCCCCTGCGCAGTCATTCTGAAAATGAACTGAATATGATTAATAATAATAATAATAAATATTGCTTGTGAATGTGGGTGAAGATGCATTTATACCTATGCATTAGACACACTCCAAAAACATTACATTGCATCCAAGATGCACAGCTTTCCCTGTCAAACAAATAAAACAAATCTAAATATCAGGTTGGGTCGGGAAATGTTGAGACTTTCTCCCCTCCGCGTCTCCGTGCTGCGCAGCACACATGATCGGCACATGCCACATCACCGACAGGCAGAGAGCCACAGAAGTGAAGCCCTCCCTCCCTTTCCACTGTGTCTGTCTTTGTGTGGAGGTGAGTGGTGAAGTATTATAAAACTGACAAACAAAAAAGAAAGGTGCAAACGATACTCAGAAATGCTGGTAAAATTGATGACTGGTTCATCTTTTTCTCATTACAGCACAGAATTGGTCTCGATATGTTATGGTCGGAATTGTTGTTGCTGTTTTGCTGTTGGTCGTGATCGGAGCTGTTGTTGTGATTCATCGTCATCAAACGCAAAATGGTAAGTATTACAAACAGCTGATATAATAAGCGGAGCATTTGCGATTTACTATGTAACAGAGACAGAGCCGGCCCAAGGCATAAGCGAACTAAGCGGCTGCTTAGGGCCCCCGTGGCCACCAGGGGGCCCCCAAGAGTACATGGAAAAAAGCTATATTAAATATTTAAATCATTTATACGTCTCATCTTATTATTTCAATAGCGACGCATCATGCAGGCACAATAGCGCTGTATGACAGATTATTTAGTTTTTTTTCTTTTTTATTCAAAATATCCACAAACTTGTTAACTAGCCTACATCATGAACCATATGATACAGCCTATTCTGATTGTCAAATATGTGTAAATTAATTTGTTTTGTCGTTTAAACAACCTTATTAGTTGATTGATAATGCGCGCTGGACGCTGTCGAGTGGATCTGTCGAATTT